TCTAGGTCAGCAACCCTGGGGGCCCAAATGGTTCAGGATGGTTCAGGTATCTTTGGGCTACTACTTCTATCTACTTCTGAGGACTCTGGTGTGTAGAAGTAAAAAGGTGTGGTTTTGACTGGGTTTCCAGTTTCTCTCAGGCTCCTGGGGAAAGAAAACCCAGCTGAATTGAGCACTTATGTATAAAATGATCTGGTAGTTCCCAAATTTTGCAAAATATGCAGAAATTGTTTGGAGATATCATTTTATAGATGGTATCCCCTGTTCAACAGGGGATCTAAGTCAGCAACCCTGGGGGCCCAAATGGTTCAGGTATCTTTGGGCTGCTACTTCTTAGGACTCTGGGGTGTAGAAGTCAAAAGGTGTGGTTTTGACTAGGTGTCCAGTTCCTCTCAGGCTCCTGGGGGAAGAAAACCCAGCTGAATTGAACACATATTTATAAAATGATCTGGTAGTTCCGAAATTTACAAAATATGCAGAAATTGCTTGGAGATATCATTTTATAAATGGCACCCCCTGTTCAACAGGGGATCTAGGTCAGCAACCCTGGGGGCCCAAATGGTTCAGGTATCTTTGGGCTACTACTTCTATCTACTTCTTAGGACTCTGGGGTGTAGAAGTCAAAAAGTGTGGTTTTGATTGGGTTTCCAGTTCCTCTCAGGCTCCTGGGGAAAGAAAACCCAGCTGAATTGAATACTGTACATATTTATAAAATGATCTGGTAGTTCCCAAATTTTGCAAAACATGCAGAAATTGTTTGGAGATATCATTTTATAAATGATATCCCCTGTTCAACAGGGGATCTAGGTCAGCAACCCTGGGGGCCCAAATGGTTCAGGTATCTTTGGGCTACCACTTCAAACTTGATGAAATATGTTTTTTTTTAGAAGAACAATATCCGCTTTCAATAATATAGTCTAAAAATCATTTAAAAAAAATCCACTTGCAGATTCGAACAATGTTCATATAGCTGCGATAGTTTGAATTAAATCATATCTTGCTTTGTTATGATTTGTTTGATGTCTTCATATGTATTTCAATTGCTTTAGCAAATCTTTACTGGCAACATTAACATTATTTATATATCTTTTTGAGGTTGACAGGAAGGCGCGGCGATCAACATGAGAGGTTTATAAAATGATTCAAAAGCTGGATCCATGACTCTTATGAAATGACAACTCCAGCAACAGATCCTTCAATCAACAAAAAACACACAAAACACATCTCTCTAAAATGATCTACTCCAGGTTTCATTAAGATCTTAGATTTAGTCTCAACATGTTTCATCATCCACCCCCTCATCTCTATATAATGATAGCTGAATTCGTCTCAGACATTGTTAGTACTGTCATTATTTTGTTTTGTCTTTTTTACGTAGTTCTGTTTTTATGTAATGAACTGCCGGAGATCATTTCATAAGACTCCTGGAGGATCATTTCATAGGGACCCAAGTAAGGGGTATTAAAAAACATGAAATTGAATGTTTAAGTGATTGACCAATCGCTAATGCATACTATCAACACACTTGTTAATTGGTTGCAAAACATCTTGTTAATTGTGCATGGGTGAAACCCAAGAATGACCCTGAAAAACCTGCTCCGCCCCACTAGCGGGCGGTCGCCCTGAAGAAACCCGTCGAACCGCCGCTTCCGTGCGGCGGTCGGCTGCGCCGTTCGGCCGGGTGCCGGCGAGGTGCTCGTTCCATGGCCCTGAAAGTCCATGGCACAATCCTGGTCCGTCGGACCGTCGGGAGAAGGCACGGTGAAGATAAAGAGAGAAAGCTCCCGACGTCAGGAAGGGCTTGCTCTTCTCACTTCAACACGAGGGAAAAAGAGAACGCTGAACGCAGCATGAATCAATGGAATTCCTGACGAATTCCTCTGAATACTCTGAAGTTCACACTGAAGTGGTCATATTTTTGTTGCCGCGCTCTCCCCATCTCCATCTTTTCGCGTCTCCGCGTCTCCTCGTCGTCATTGTCCTCGCACATGTGCAAGCCTTTCTCCGTCACCTGGCGCAGCACTCCAGGTAGGTCCAAGGTTGTCGTCTGACCTGTTGGTCCATTTGGGTATACTCCAAATTGGTCCGAGGTTAGGTCGAGTCCAATCACTTGAAACATGGACCAGCTGCTTCTGTTCGGGGTCACCTGGCTGGATATCTTCACACTACTTACAGTACGTCATTCCTGATTTGTTTCGCAAACCCGGAAGGTCCTGGAAGTACACAACTGGGTGGTGTTGTCAGATGATTGAACCCATTGACTCCTGACATCTCCTGACTATAATATGATATTGTATATTGGGTCTGTCCGAACTTACCTGTAACAGTCAATTATTACTATTATTGAACAAGGCCTGCAACCTAACCATCATCATCCACTGTTACAGGTAACAGGATAGACCCAAATTATATATTAATTACCTAGCGCTGCCAAGGGGTGCCCAATGGAGACCAAGAGCACAAACCCGCCAAACACCTACATCTAAAAAGGACCATTCAAACCACTGGTGACATACGGTTGGTCTCTTAGTCTTCAATGCAAGAGAGCACCTAAATAATGTATACTATCAACCCACTTGTTTCATTAGATACGACGTCACAAAAGCAAACAAAGTTGTATGTTTGGAACCCCCCGACAAATAAACACATGTTCTTATTTTTGTTATCGGACATCACCCAGAACTTCCGTTTGTTCCTCGTTTTGCTCCACCTGGTTCATCCATCCACGCCATGTTTTCCGCCGTTTACGGGGCAGGAAAATGTGTTCGTCCGTCATGTCTGGACTCAAAAAGGGTCGTTTTGAGGCAGCTTAGAGTCTTAGAGCTAGGACGCGACTCGAACGGAGCATTTCGGGCCTCGCTAGTGGGAGCAAGGGCCTATACTACTATAGGAACCATGTTTGCTAGTAATAATATTAATAGATACACCAGCTTCTTCAAAGTGACCGTTTGAAGGTTCCTAGGTGACCCTTAGGAGGCTTAAGTGACCTCAAACCAGGTTATCAAAGGGTCACTTTGAAGAACCAGGGTAGTAATTATATAATAATATAGATACATTATAGAATTTATTTAGAGCTCTCCCTCCCGATACCCCGATCCCCCGATTCCCATCTCACCACACCTCAAGTTCCCGAACCGCTCGCCCACCCTGAGACCGGTTCCGGAGGGCGGTTCCGGAGCGCCGTTGTGGTAGTCCGGTGAGTCGGACCACATGGAGAGAAGCTCCGGCGACTGTTTGGTCCTTTTTCTGTGAGCGAGTCCGTTCGCTTCTACAAAGGACTACTCAGTACTATTCAGTACTACTCAGTAACAGTACTTGTTTTGAAGTTGAGCTCACTGTGATGGTATGTGCTTCTTCTTGTTTCTGCAAAGTCGATCTGTTTTAGTGCTGATTGTAAGTTTGTATAACATGATAACATGTGGTCTTAGCGGTTCTTCCTACAAACCGAAAGGAATTAAACACACAAGACCGACAAACTGCAGATGGGGAGAACATGACATGGGCGTCATGGGTGGCATGGATCCCCAAACACTCCATCTATGGAAATCATTAGGGTGGTTGAAGGGTTTTGGGTATTTCTGGGTGATTTTGTGTGCATATCATATACTCCAATCCCGTGAAGTGCCTGGGTCTTTTTCCTAGGAAGAACCCCCTTTCAATCTCGCTCTGACTACGGTCTATTGAGTCTATGTCCCAAACCCAAAGAGTCTTTCACTGGGAGGTCTCCCTATGAGGTCTCTACACACCCAAAGAGATGGCTGGCGAACAAGGACGGTCCGCATCTACAATCTACGCTCGGCGTCTGCTGCACTGCACCATGATGCCATGGGCCGTATGCATATCATCCTGTCAGTTTCTTGTTGTAAAACTTTGGATGGTAAACACACACAATGTTCAGGCCATTGGCAAGCCACCAGTTCAACTCATGAAGGCCTCTTATTTTGACCCAAGTAGATCCCAGCAGTCCGGTTATTGTTTTTGCTGAATAAGAATAACCAAACAAACACCTCACAAGACAAACTGTTATTGTCCGAGCAGTCCTGTTTTTGAATAAGAAGATGACCTCTGAAAACCAAAAAAAAACACCTCACAGCCGCTCTGAGGCGGCCCACAAAGTCCTTGTGGCTCGTCCTGGTGGCGGCATCGTCATAGGGGAGGGCTGAGGCTCTGAAGTCGTCGTTGGAAAAGCCCCCGGACCATGTTCCGCTGCTTCGGTTTGTACATGTGAGACGTCGTTCTACCCCAAATGCAGTGAGGATACATGCAAGTCGCTGGTTTGCTCTTTCGTTGGTCGACTCTGGCGAGTTGATCCGGTAGAACACCACGCACATTCTGTTACATTGTGTTACATGTAGCCGTGTCTACCCATCAAGTCCATGGTCTAGATGACCTATAGATGGTTTCATCCACAGTGAGCAACGGCTACAGCTGCCAGCAGCTAAACACCAGCAACAACTCTTGTCTATAATCTGATCAATGATCAATGATCAACCGCCCCCCAAAATGATCCCAAGAAACAATGACACGATGGTGCGCAGTGGTGTAATCAAGCCCCTGACAATTTAACATGGGCGGGAATGGAGATGGACATGAAGCCTCCTTGCCCAAACACGACCTGTCTGGGACTGTAATGTATGGCTACATTCACCCCGAAATTCAACCACCTCAATGTAGGTATATAAATATGGCCTATGGGCCTATGGCATACATTGCATGGAGTGTCTGGGTTGGGAAAGGGAGCATGAGCATGGCTGGCACTGTGGTTCATGATTTCGCCAAAGGAGTTGGGGCTGATGCTGCAGCGCTCTGCTAGGCACCTCCCAAGGTGAACCAGCCAAACCCAAAGCAAGTCCAAAACCGTCTTCATCCGCAAACACGATGATTGGACCACTGAACATGAAGCTAGATGAAAGGCTCCACATATCTCCAGGCAAGGCTCAATAGAATCAAGAGCATCTGTAGATCAAGTTTGCATCATGAAGTGTTTGCATCATGACAGACCAGTTCGTTCTACGGCTTAGTTGAAACAACCAAGCCGTGGGAAACCCCCACGCTCCTGATGCCAGTGTCTAGCACATAGACGTGCACCGTCTCGCCGGCTTTGGGGCGATAGCGATACGACCTCGACGCGGCATCCGGCCGGCGCCGGCAGTCCGTGGACGTGGACGTGGACGTGGGAGGTCGCTGGTCGCGGCTTTTGGGACACTGCTTTGGAAGAAAACCGCCTGAGATAAAGATCAGTGTAACATCGGGGCTCAGGATGTTCAAACCAGTGTAAATGCTTGACAAAATTAGCACCAGAATCGGTAAGCCAGATCAGGAACGCGAGATCCATTGTCAACCTAAAAAACAAAAACACTAAGAACAAACTGGATAAACTCAAGTGGTACGTCGTAAAAGCTGGGACGTGTGCTGAAACAGCGAACTGTCGGCCATCACACAAGCTGAACACACCTGACAACTTCAAGTTTACGATGCTCCGAACCACAGCTGGAAGCAACTGTCAGTGGAAAAAAAAACTTGGAGGGTTGCTCCTCAAAACCGAATGAGCAAAGTGACCCATACTGCTGAAGTGCGCAGTGAACTGTACCATGGCATAACCATCAATCAACAAAGGCTGTGAATGGCCCGAATGGCCTTCTTGCTGTCTAGTTACTGGTTAGTCCAGAAGGGTGTTTACAAGGAAACACATAAAATAATTGAAAATAAGTATGTAAGCAGGAACCTGGAACAAAATAACCTTTGAAAACATGTGGGAGGGAAACATGAGAACCATTCAGGCCTTGAGGAACCTTCCAACTACACTCGCGCTACTGTTTTACCCACGAGGGGTAATTGGCAGACCCGAGCGTGAATCTTGACATCATGGCATACACCCCGGAAGCAACATGGACCCAGCAAAGCAACAGCCTATTCGAAGGAAACTCCAAATTTCCCGGGTCACAGCTACTCCACTGAGACCCATGTTCGTTTCTTGAAAAAAATCTTGGTGTAATCATGATTCAAGGACCCTTGTTGGCAAGCCCATCTGGTTGGTGCTTTTACCGATAGTAACAAACTGAAATTCACAAAAAAATATCCTGGTTCTTCAAAAAGACCTTTTGATAACCTGGTTGGTTCGGTCACTTAAGCCTCCTAAGGGTCACTTAGGAACCTTCAAAAGGTCACTTTGAAGAAGCTGGATCCAAAAAATATCTCAAACCCACTCGCCATGGCTTGGAGCATTGTATTTTGCGCGCTTGGCACCAGCCCGCTCGCTTGGTCGGGGTTCGCGCCCGAAGGGCTCCAACGTCCGGGGCTCCAGGCGAATTGTCTCCGCTCACCTGGGAGCTCCAGGCCGTGGTCATGCGAAGGGGGGGCTCCAGGTTTTGATGGATTTCGAGGTTTGGCAGGTTTGGGGAGCCCAGGTTTTGGGGGGACCAGCGGTTTTTGGCAGGTTCCTGGAAATGGATTTTGGGGCTCCAGGTGTTCGTTGGATGGATTTTTTGAGATCCGACGACCTCCAGGTTCGGTGGGGTGCGGGCGGGGGGGTCCCTTCTTTTCGGATGGACAGGAGCCCAATTGTTGAGTGTTTTTGCGTCCTCGTCGATCGATCGGGCGAAACGCAAACGGGACGGGAGCCTTTTCCCAAGGCTCCCCAGAAACCCTTGTTTTAATGGTCTGAATCCCAAAGAACCAGTGTTTTACTAAAGGATTGTACACTAACAACACTGTAACAACACCAGGTCAACCATGTTTAAAATGGTCTTAGAAGGCTATGGTTTTCAAGTTGCTCTACCCGATCTTGGAATGGACAAAACCAATCGATGTTATCGCATCCAACGCCTTCTCGATGTGTTCTTTCATGCTTCTGTGTTGATGGTCCTCTCTTTCTCCAAACAGATTCCATGACCTCTTCGCTCCAAAAAGACCACAAAAAATCACACATCTTTCATCAACCAAACACTGCATGGGACTGCTATACCTGATTATACCTGATTCAATGGTAGGGATGGGGTGAATGGGGCGCCATGTATAGCATATATGTATGCCAAATACCCTACAAAGCCAGTCGTTCTTCGCTTCTCAGCTTCTCCTCCTCTTCGGTACTTTCCTGGACCCAAACGTGCTCGTGTCTGCCATGTCGTTGGGGCCCCGCACGACAGGGCCCCGTTGGTCGATACGGTCCAGGCCTCGGATGGGACGAAGCATGGATCTCCATGAGATCCGCCTTCAGATTTACAGTGCCAAATGATGTTTTTATATTTTTTTATTGTAAAACACCGTGCGCAATCAGAAGAGGTTGGGCCAACCGATTGAATCCCCCAAAATCATGTCGTGCTTCATGTGTTTTTGTATATAAATATGACCTGCGCCTCCATGGATCGTCTGGGTACACATGGACATGGACATTCTGGCGAAGAAAAGACATGTCCAAATAGGTGGTGCCATCCACTTCCATGTGATGTGTGCGTCAAAGGGTACAGAAATCAGAAGAACCAACGGAGGTCCTGAAAGGCCACGAAAGCTCTCGAGCCGCTGAGCCGAAGAAAGCCTGCCGGGGAGGGTTCTGGGAATCTAAGGACCACGGACCACGGATGCTTGAAAGCGACACCTGGAAATTTTTGTGGGCATCAACGATCAGGAATCACATTGGAAGATCCCTTTGAATGGGCTCAAAAGTGTTCAATGGATCCCTTTCCTGGCCAGTCTCTCATTCCTCAATGTTCTTCACACATCAAGCCTGCCTATATTATACAGGTCAAAGACTTTGGACCAAAACTATGACAACATAGAGATCAGGTCATGGTCAGTGATGAACCGCACAGTGACCCAACTGAAAACCGAAACCGGAGCCAGCCAACTGAAACCGTCAGTGATGATAAGATTTGGAATAATTCTGATTATTTACCCTTTCAAGCCCCTATTCCTTTTCCTATCCACACTCCCCTCTCACATCTCTGAATTTGGTCGCACCAAAGCTCGCCTTTTCAGGCGTCCGTCATACACATCCGCCAGTTCCGCATGCCAGTTTTCCATTCCGAACTATTCCAATAGATAGATGTCAAAAAACCTGTTAATGCTTGTAGGGGCGTACAGAAAATGATGAGCTCCCCAAAAATGATCCAAACCCAAACATTCCATTCATTCATGGCCCCTGAAACAAGGTTCTAGTAAACCTAATGATTCCTAACGTAGGTATATATAATTGTCCATAATGTTGACATAGGCATATATAGGATGAACCAACCTCCCCATATTCAAGCCCAGCTCGAGCCCCCAAAACTAAACTGATTACAAAGTCTTTGGGAACATCGCTCTCGAGATGCTCGGCTTTTCCTCGGCTCCCAGACCCCAAGAGGGTGGGCCATCTTGCAGGGAGGCGCGGTGCCTGGTGGATGGTGGATCAGAAACAATCGCCGACACATGGGACTGCCAGCCAGAACATGTACCGATCAAGTCAGGTTCTTAAGTATTTCGGGGTTTTCATGGGAAACCATGGGACTACCAGTCCTATGGAGTCAGTGTCTGGGTGTCTGGTATCTAATATGATCGAATTAATGAACGTCATGGATTTCTGAAGTAGGGCAGTGTTACATGTGTTTGCAAAACGGAACAATCCTTTGAATCTTGTGTGGCCATCTGTCTTTTCCTCTTGCTAGTTCCCTTAACCCTATTCGTCTGTTCCTCAGGCCAGAACACCCTCCAAGGATACTCCGATCGGCACAGCGTTTTCAGAGTACGGATGTGCACATGATTCTTCTTTTCCCTGAAATAAGGCATAAATAAATATGGATGTGGGTCAAGACCGAGGAAACCCCTTCTGCCCCGCCATGGAATCGTTACGTATACATGTACCCCCATGTACCTCAAGACCAACCCATTCACGGTCCAATAATTCCTTCCGACGTCTGCTCTGGGCAGCTGCTCACGCTCTGCGTCCCCAGATCGCGCTCAGCGCGCAGCCACGCGTCCCAAACGCCTCGACCCTGGACTCGTGAAGTCGACATTGGTCTCCTCGTCTCGCAGGTGACGCCATCGAAGCACCGTCTCGAGCATCGGAGACCAACACACGTGGTGTGACCGCTGGAGACCCCCGGAGGAGGAATCAACAGTGAAACGCCAACGGAGCCGCGGTCGCTGTCCAAAGTGAAAGAAATCAAGAGACACATTGTACAGAAGCAACGACCATGCTTCTGACATCTTCTGATACATCGAGGTATTCTGCTGGACTTACTAGGGTTGCCAGACCATCCATGGATGGAATAGTTACATTACATGTGATTGCCCCAGGATGACCTTAATGCAAATCCGCCGGCCTGCCGGCGTGTTTTGTGGATTGTTTTGGTTAGTATTGCTTGTGTTGGTTTCAATCTACGGTTTGTCTCTCCACGCGGATTTTTCGACAGCCTGACGCCCCCCGTAGTAGGTAGTACGTAGGTAGTAGGTAGTAGGTAGTACGTAGTAGGTAGTAGGTTGGACTGTAGGTAGTAGTGGTGGTAGTAGTAGTAGTAGTAGCAGTAGTAGCAGCAGTAGGTAGTAGGTAGTAGGTAGTAGGTAGTAGGTAGGGCGCAGTAGGTAGTAGGTTGGACTGTAGGAAGTAGTGGTGGTAGTAGTAGTAGTAGCAGTAGTAGCAGCAGTAGGTAGTAGGTAGTAGGTAGTAGGTGGTACGTAGTAGGTAGTAGGTAGTAGGTCGCTGGATCAGACTAGACAACCATTGGACTGAGACATGTCCATCGCTGGATCAGAATAGACAACCTCTGATTCGGATTCGTTCCATTTCATTGTAAAACGACTTCGCTTGAAATCAACAGCAACAAACTCTCCCAGCAAAATGTGCAACTCCAATGCACCCACAAGTCTGATTGAGCAGGGTATTGTTGTTCGATGTCATTCTGGGTCGTTCATTTCAAACGGTTTGGAGAAAAAAACGACAAATCATACCAGATCTAGAAATTCTTCGGTCGCTTTGAAGCCTTCTGTGTGTGAAAAAGAATATCTGGTGCGTATCGCAATCCCTCGAGACGGTCGAAAAAAA